TAAAAATTAATCATTTAGTAAATACTCTTTTGAGTCTCTCTTCTTTTGTTCAATAGTATGTTTGTGAGATTCTCTTTTATTGCTGTCGTATCTAATTGTATGTCTACTGTTGATGGCTGTTATGAACAAGTCTGTGAATGTTTGTTTCATATGTATTTTGATGCACCTATTTATACTTCTTTTAGTATATACCTGGCAGTGGATATGTTGGGTCATAAGGTTTTCAGTATGTTCAGCTTAAAATTTTTTCCAAATTGGATGCTACCAATTTACATTGTTACCAGCACAGTAGTATTTAAATGCTCTTTTACCCTATATTGTCAGGTCTTTGTTTGTTTGTTTTGTGTTTTATTCTGCACTGCACATATGTAGTGATATCTCATTGTGGTTTTGATTATCATTTCCCAATAATGTTGACCAGCTTTTCATATGTTTATTGGTCATTTGGCTAGCCTCTTGTAAATTCCTATGTAGATATTTTTTCATCATTTTTTAAATTGGATTGTTTTATTTTTCTTATTGATTCATATGAGTTCCTTATTCTATATACATGTTCTTTGTAGGTATATAAATTAAAAGTTATCTTTGCCAACTCTGTGGCTTGCCTTTTTACTATATTAATGGTGTCTTTGGTAAACAGAAGTTTTTCTTATTAGTAAACTTCACTTTACCAATCTTTTCTTTTGTGGTTGGTTCTTTTTTGGTGCTATTTAAGAACTCTTTCCCTAGTCTTAGGTCATGGAGCTATTCTATTAGGTTATCTTGCAAAAAATTTATTGTTTTACCTTTCGTATTTCAATAATTCATTTTGAATTGATTTTCGTGTATGATAGGTAGGAACAGGTTTCATTTTTTATTCATATCACAGTGACACCTTTATACTAAATAAGGCAATTCTGTATGTACAGATATGCTTCTGGATTCTTTATTCAGTTGCATTGGTCTTTTTATCTATGTTTGTGTCAATCATGTTCTGTCTTAATTTCTTTAGCATTATATTAAACCTTGATGTTAAGTAATAGAGGTCATTCTTCAAGTTTTCTATACTATTCCTGGACCTTTTGATATACATCCAAATTTTAGAATCCTTTAGTTTTTATGATGCTGTATTTCTCATTCAGTGGTCCGGAAGCAAAGCGTAATGCGTAAACACACTACTCCCAAATAGCCAAAATAAAAACCAAGAGCTGTAAATATGAAGTTTTAATAAGCGTAATGTATGGATGCTGTGTGATTTATTTTGTGTAATAGTCTCACAGTGATTATTTTTTAACAACCTACCAGCCATCTTGTTTTGTTTATCATACTCCAAATTCATGATTTTTAAAGAAGCCACCATAGAATTCCACTTAAGAAAAGTACTATATTTGTTTAGGGACATACCTTAATTGGGCATGTTTGTTATGAAGATGACACCCTCTTCACATCGCCTGGATGGCCATGGATGAGACAGAAAGATAGGTAAAATACTTGGTATGAGGAATTAAGAGGAATTTGGAGAGTTTTGAGCTAATACCTGGGCAGAGGGGAGGTAGGGAGTGGCAGCCAGCAACCTGGTGAGAGACAGGAATCAAGGATGACAGTGTAACTTAGGGTTTAAGAGCTTGAGTTCTAGATCCAGGTTACCTGGCTCAGCCACTTAATAGCCACATGAATTCGGGTAAGTTACTTATCCCTTCTGTGCTTCACTTTTCTTTTTTGTAAAATGGAGATGAGTGTTTACCTCATAGGGTGGTCGGGATAATTACATGAGTTAATATATATAAAACACTAAGAATGTACCTCACATGTAGTTAACCCACATATGTGCTAGCTGTTATTATAATTAATAAAAGATAATCTGTGAAAAGTCTAAGATATATTTTTAGTTTTGTGCCTTGATATAATCACCCATCCTTGTCAAGAATGGGGGATTATAGATCACCTTGAATTCCATGTTGCCTTTTTATGTAATTTCTATAAGTTCTCTATTTAGAAATATTGAGTTGTCGGAAAAGTCATGACTTATTTTTTCTGTTTTTCGTTGCAAAAATGCATCATGACTTTTCTGACAACCCAATAAATGTATCTTGATGGGAATCCAAAGAAAAACCTTATACTGACTTTGTTCAGCATCCCTCAGTGAAAAGGTTTGAAAAAGAATCATTCCTATAGTTGATAACCACTGAAAAGTAGCCTAAATAAAAAGAGAACCTAGAAAGCTAATTGCATGGAAAGAATGTAGCGCTCTGGAAGCAGAGGATTAAAATGCATGCCAGAGATCTGGAATTTTAGGGGTTTAAATTTCAGGGCAAAAATGAACCTGAAAGGGGTTTCTTTTTGGAGTGATGAAAATATTATGGAATTAGGGAGTGGTAATGCTTGCATAACCTTACACATATACTAAAAGCCACTGAATTGTACACTTCAAGGGGATAGAGTTTATGGTATGTTAATCATATATCATTTTGAAAAACTGATTCTGACTGGGAGAAGTGGTAGCTCAGTGGCATGGGGTAGGTCCCAACCAGGATGAGTAGAGCATCCGTATGCAAGGTGGCAATGAGCAACAGTGAAATTTATTACCGTAGGAGGAACAGATTAGTAAGGACAACAAGAAGCAGATTTCTCACTATTGAAGAACAGATTTACAACTTGGGAAAGGAGAAAACCTAGCATTAACCCTATGCTATTGAATTGGAATTAGAGCATCACTGTGAACTTGGGGGTTATGTGTTTGTATATGGATTTACAAATATAAATGAATATATGTGTGTACGTGAATGTATGTATACGTGTGTGTGTGTGTATTTGTGTGTGTGTGTGTGTGTGTGTGTGTGTGTGTGTGTAAATATACTGCCTAACTCTGTCCACTGAGTGGACCTGGAGAACAATGACATCCAATAGCAGTGAGCATACCTGATATTCTAAATACCCTTCTCCACTTAAAAGAACCAAGTCTTCTTGGAAAAAGGACTCATTCCAGGATTAGGGCAGGGAAAGTACAAGATGAGCCTGGAACATCTTGTGCCATAAAGCAAAGAAGTGCTCAGAAAATGACAGGAATGTATCAAAAGGTTATAGGAACCGAATTGTGAAAGGGCTTCCCCTGGTCAAAACTGGGACCATTTGAGCAACAAAATAAATAATGATAGTAACAGATTATAACTCAGTGAATAACAGGAATTTTTGAGTTTAGCTAGAGAGATAAATGGTTGAATAGATGGGTGGGTGGGTGGGTGGGTGGATGGATGGATGGATGGATGGATGGATGGGAAATGTACACAGTAGCTAGATTAATGGATTTAGTAAAATCACTATTTGGCAAGCATGATGTTATTTAATTCAACCAAGAAGTATTAATGAATACTTAAGATAGTGGGCAAAAGTTTGTTGAGAAAAGATTCAGACTGATACTTGTGCAACAATGTTCATACTATCATTATTCATAATATCTAATAGGAGGAAACAACCCAAGTGTCCAACATGAGACGAATAGGTAAATGAAATGTGGTATATACATACAATGGAATATTAGACATAAAAAGGAGTGAAATATAAAAAGTGAAATTCTGATGGATGCTATAATATGCTTAAATTATAATATGCTTAAAAACATGCAAAATAAGATAAGTTAGACATAAAAGAACAAACAAATTTGTTCAACTTGTATGAGATACCTAGAATAGGCAAATTCACAGAGAAAGTAAAACAGAGCTTACTAGGGGCTAGTAAGAGGGAGGAATGAGGAGTTACTTAATGGTACAGAATTTTGGGGGTGGGGGAGATTAAAAAGCTCTGGAAATGGTGGTGATGGTTGCACATTGTGAATGTATTGGGTTGTCGGAAAAGTCATGATGTATTTTTCTGTGTTTTTCATTGCAAAAATGCGTCATGGCTTTTCCGACAACCCAATACTATCCTGAATTTTGCACTTAAAATGGTTAAAATGGCAGATTTCGTAATGTATATTTTATAACAAAAATATTTTTAATTTAGAAATTTGTTGCAGAATGGGATATTTACATAGTCTCAAAGTATCCTCTCACAAAATACTTCCTCATTACAAAGAAAAAAAATGTGTAATTTTAGAATTTGGAAAAATATGGCACACACTACCATAACCAATTGATCAAAGTTAACACAGCATTACTTTTGTTGTATTCCTGCCAAAAAGCATAACCTGAATCAAATCATGAGGTAATATTAGATAAATTCAAATTGAGGGACATTGTGTAAACAACTGGCCTATAATCTTCAAAAGTGTCAAGGTCATGAAAATTAAGAAAAGACTGAAAAACTGTTCCAGATCAAAAGAGATAAAAGAGAACTTGAGAACCAAATGCACTGCATAATCATGAATTGTTGGATCCTTTTGTTAGAAAGGACATTACTGGGACAAGTGTCAAAACTTAAATGGGGTCTGTGGATGAGATCATAATAATGTAAAATGTTAGTTTCCTGATTTCTGTACTGGTACTGTGGTTATGTAAGAGAACGTCCTTGTTTATAGGAAATACATATTATCTGGGGATGATGGGACTTCATGTCAGTGCTTTCAAATGGTTAAAGGAAAGAAATACTTTTTGTACTATCCTTGAAACTTTTTTGTACATTTGAATTGATTTCAAAAAAACAAAAAATATATATTTATGCAAACTGTAAGAAAAAAAAAGATAAAAGAACCTGAGTGAAGGTGGTGATTGTGGTCAGGAACTAGATCCCAGCATTAGGACTATATTGGAAAGCTGACTGCCAAAGAAATGGGAAACTATTTCTATTCAGTAAGTTACAAAAGCGTTCCAAGCCCATTTTGAGTAAATAAATAGAGGATAATTTGAGTAGACTGTTCATCAATTATTTAAAAGTGGGAAAATAGGGTTCTAGACAGGGACCTTGTAATTTTGGATTTAGAATTTGAAAACAAAAGAAAATGACCAAACTGAATGTAAGAATAGTTGCAGAGCTAGGCTGTTTTTTTTTTTTTTAAATTCATGTGTTTCAATGTCTTCCTGTTTTAGGTGATGCTGAACAGGAACTTGGTCCCCCTCCATCTGTAGATGAGGCTGCAAACACACTCATGACTCGTCTGGGTTTCCTCCTGGGAGAGAAAGTCACAGAAGTTCAGCCAGGTGACCAATATAACATGGAAGTACAGGATGAAAGTCAGGTAAACTGCTTGTTACCAGCTTTGAAACATGGGATGAATCAGCCTGTTGTACCAGGAAAGGAAAAATGGTGTGTGTGTGTGTGTGTGTGTGTGTTGGAAAGAATGATCCTAATTGTCGAATGCCTTTTGAAGCCTGGAGATAATTTAATTTTCCGCAATCACTGTATTTCTTCAGTTTATGAAACATCTTATATTGGGTTGTCGGAAAAGTCATGACACGTGTTTGCAACAGATGGCACTAGTTCATTTTTGGAAGTACTGGAGTCATTCGCATTTATGTTATTGCTATGTCATTTGACAGCTGACAGCTCTCGCTTCATTCTAAAAAAAAAACTGAGCGGTTTGGTTGAGTTTTGGAGATTTTACAACAAGTTGAAGATGGAAGACCAAACTGTGCATTTTTGCCATATTTTACTGTTTTACTTCCATAAAGGGAAGAACACATGTCAAGCTTGTGAAAAGTTGCATAAAGTTTACGGTGACAATGTTTTACAAGAACGTTGGTGCCAACAATGGTTCACAAAATTCCGTGCTGATGATTTTGATCTCAATGACGCTCCTCGGTCAGGGAGGCCCACCGAGGTTGATGATGACAAAATAAAGGCATTGGTCGAGTCAAACCCACGTTACACAACACAAGAGATTGCAGAAACATTGAACATCCATCATTCAAGCGTTCACGACCACCTGAAGAAGCTGGGATACGTAAGCAAACTCGATATTTGGGTTCCACGTGAACTCAAAGAAGTTCATTTGACAGCGCATATAAACATCTGCAATATGCTCATTAAATGTGAGGAAAACAATCCTTTTTAAAAAAAAAGATTTTATTGGGGAATTGGGAGGGGAACAGTGTTGGGAAATAGGGGAAGGGGACCAGCCAAGTTGTTGTCCTCCAATCTTTGTTGTGGATGGTGCCAGTCACCATCTGGCTTCCCATTGGCAGCTTATAGCCTTTAAGCTCAAGTTGCTGTGTTCAATCTTAGTTGAGGGTGGGCGTAGTCACCATCCCATGCGGGAGTCAAACCAGCAGCCTTGTTAAGAGTGCACGCTCTATCCACTGAGCCCTCCGGGTGGCAGCTCAGCTCAGGGTGCTGAGTTCAGTCTTAGTTGCGGGTGGGCAGACCACCATCCCATGTGGAACTCTCACCCGGCAGCCTTGTTGTTAAGAGTGCATGCCCTATTCATTAAGCCGTTCGGGCAGCAGCTCAGCTCAAGGCGCTGAGTTCAGTCTTAGTTGCGAGTGGGCGTAGCCACCATCAAACAGGCAATCTTGTTGTTACATCAGCTGAGCCATCCTGCCACCTGTTGGCAACTCAGCAACAGCTCAGCTCAAGCACAGCATCACTGGCCCATGTGGAAATCGAACCAGCAGCCCTGTTGCTCAGAGCTCACGCTCTTAAGCCAACTTTTAACCAACTGAGCCACTCACCTGGCCCGAAAACCATCCTTTTTTGAAGCTACTGATAACTGATGATGAGAAGTGGATTGTTTACAACAATGTGGTGCGCAAACAGTCTTGGTCCCGACGTGATGCTTCACCTCAAATGACATCGAAAGCAGACATGCATGAGAGGAAGGTTATGCTCTCAGTGTGGTGGGATTTTAAAGGTGTCTATTTTTCGAGCTCCTACCAAGAAACCAAACAATCAATTCAAATGTGTACTTTCGACAATTGGACAGTTTGAATGAATCCATCATCCAGAAACGTCCAGAGATTGTTAATTGTAAAGGACTTGTGTTCCATCGCAACAACGTGAAACCACACACAAGTTTGATCACCCGTCAAAAATTATTGGAGCTTGGGGCCGGCCGAGTGGCGC